AAACATGAAAAAGAAAACAACCAGATGAGGCACCTACCTATGTAGTTCATGATAAATCCCTGGCCCTTTCCAAAGATGAGGCCGGCAGGGTCCGAGTGGAACTGGATGGTGAGGTCTGGCGTGGAGGAGTACAGCTTCTGGGGGCCGCTATTCCCGAGGTACTGCCCCAAGATGTGGGGCATGACCTCATCGCCGTCGTAGATGGTTAAGATGTCGCTGTTGCTCAGGTTCAAGCTTGGAGGGCAGGGAGAGGAGGAGGGGTCACATGAAACAAAAGATGGACATTCAATAAGACTTGATTATTTTTTTTAGGCAACATACAACTTCTTTTCTTTTTTTTTTTGTGGGGGACAGGGTCTCACTCCATCACCCTGGCTAGAGTGCAGTGGTGTCCTCATAGCTCACTGCAGCCTCAAACTTCTGGGCTCAAGTGATGATCCTGCCTCAGCCTCCCAAGTGTCTGGGACTGCAGGCATGTACCACCACGCCTGGCTAATTTTTCTATTTTTAGTAGAGACAGGGCCTCACTCTTGCTGAGGCTGGTCTCAAACTCCTGAGCTCAAGCGATCCTCCCACCTTGGCCTCCCAGAGTGCTGGGATTACAGGCGTGAGCCGCTTTGCCCGGCTAACATACAATTTCTTAAGACATACTATGTATTAGGTCCCAGGCCTAACACATAATTGGGAGTGAGGTAGGCTTAGACTGCAAATGTGACCAGACACTCTATTCCTTCCTACAAACACAACACACAGATCGGCTGATGAACTGAATTTTTGAAGATACATTTATGAAATGGTCTTGCCTACACGGGACCCATCGCAAAGTCAGATACTGCATTGTAAGAAGAATCGCCATCAACACCCCCGTTATCAACAACCATTTCTTGGGTGACAACTATGTGTCGGGTTGTGACATGGGTCTTTCATTCTTCTTTGATGCGGAACATGCTGACAGCTTGCTAATTATAACTCGCCTTTTCAGGAAGGCGAAGTGATCTTTTCATTTATCATGCGGCAAATTCCTCAAAGTCAACCGAGTTATCGCGTACGTTTAAGAGGGGCAGAGGGTGGGACAGAGGTACCTTATTCATGAAATATGCTCAAACCTGCTATCACTGTTCATAGCATTAAAGAGTGACACATTTTCAAAGACTTGAGTGCAAGAAAGTACCTTGACACTAAATAATCGGTCAGCAATGAACAGTTAATAATCTGGAAAGCACTTCAATATACCACAGAGACGCGTGCCATCTTAGGCGTGCTGGATGAAATTGATCTGACTGCAAGAATGCCAGATAGTTCAGCTTGGGCGGAGTCAGTCATGGGCAGATATTAACTCATGCTCCTTTCTTTTCTTTCTTCTCTCCCCCTTTCTCTTTCTTCTCTTTCTCTCTACATCTTTCTCTTCCCCTATCCCCTGTCCCTAACATTTTTTTCTGAGCACCTACTACGTGCCAGGCATTGTGCTGCACTCAGAGGAGTCGCAGAGTAGTGATCTATCTAGACGTGTAAGCCAGAGATTGTGGCAGGAATTATGATCAAGGTAAGTGCAGAGAAGGGACATCAAACTCAGATCAAGGGCATCCTGGAGGCCTCCCCGGAGGAGGTGATGCTTCTTGCTCTGAAGCCTTAAGAAAGAGCAGGGGACCTCGAAGCAGGCAAACAATGAGTAGGAAGAAGGCAAAACTATGAGGCAGAGGGAAGAAGGGAGAGAGGTTATGGTTCCTGAAGGAACTCGCCCCGTGGTCATTGTGTGCAGGGTTGGGGATGAGGCGCAGGAGGCTGCAGAGCTCTGCAGAGACCAGACCATGAAGGGCTTAAAGAACCAAACTCAGGTGTTTGGACATCATTTTGCTGGAGAGGGAGAGACGCAGACAGGGTTTAAAAGGGAGCTGCATGACTGAGCAATTCAACGCCAGGGGAGAGGCATTCCAGGAATCGGCCCTGAGCGAAGTTCCTGGAAGTGATGCCGGCGGACAGCACCCTCCCCACTGACGGCTTCTTCCAAGGCCCAACAGCACGATTGCTGCTCGTGGGAGTGGGGGAGGGGGAACGCCAGCTACCATGTTGGTGTTTCCAGTGGTGAGAACAAAACAACAGAAGCGCAAGGGACGGTGTTGAAGGTTTGCTGCTGGAGGGCAGGGGCTGCATTTTATTCCCCTCAATACCTTCCGTAGGGCCCCTCACAGTTCCTCATGTAAAGGTTTAATTGCCCGCCCATAATCTCTATCAGTTTCCTCCACACCACCCCAAACAGCCTCTCCTAATGAAAGCTGTCTGCTTGCTTTTCACACATGGCTTCAAGATAAAGCCCCCAAACTTCTCCTGCCTCTTAGCAGTTTTCAACTAGACTGAGCCCCTAAATCCCTACTATATTGAAATGCTCTGGTTGCCACTTTCTCTTGCACACAGTAGGTGCTCAATACATGCTATGGTACGAAAGAAACTGCCAGAGAGTCTATTCGACTGAAGAAATACTGGGGCTGATGTCAGCTCTTGATCTACGGCAGGGAAGAGCCGCTTTAGCTCTCAGAACCACGAGAACATCAATTGCTCCTGCACGTCCCGGCTTAGGCTGCCGTGAAACATGGCAGACAGCAGGTATTTATTCCTTAAGCCGACTTCACGGCCCATCGGCGGGCAACAGCGGGTTCCAGACTGTGCGCGACTCGAGTTTGTTCTATCATTCATTGCAGTGATCTAAATGCAGCAGCAGCAACTTCAAGGGTGCAAATAACTTTCATTTAAAAACCACACCGCAGCCCTTTGTTCTCTATGACGCAGGATAAGGAGCGATGCGCTAGGAAGAGCACCTGGCTTGGAAATCAGGAAGGTCCGATTGGTTTCATTCTCAGCTTCGTCACTTTCACGGAAGGCCTGTGGTTTTTCTGAAGTTTCTTGTCTGTGAATCGGGCTTAATATGTCTAGTCTATGTTGTGAGCTTTGGGAATGGAGTCAAGTCTGGAACCAAATTCCAGGGCCACCTGAGCAAGTCTGGCCACATCGTTTGCATGCTTTGTTGTTATGTTCCAGTTTCATTATGGGCAGCACGATTGTCGCTATCATCACCGTCACCACCATCATCATCGTCATCGTCATCCTCTCTTTGGATTTCTGTTTCTAGATGATGGCAGATGATTTACATCAGTAGTTCCCAACTAGGGACAGTTTTGCCCCCCAGGAGACATTGGCAATGTCTGGAGACATGATTGTCCTAACTAGGTGGGTACCCCTGGGGAGTAGAAGCCAGGGATGCTGTTAAGCATCCTACATTGCACAAGACAGCCCCCACCCCAAGGAAACATCTAGTCCAAAATGTCACTAGCGCTAAGGCTGAAACCCTGGCTTACGTAAATGCACGTTGTAAATAGTGTGCAACGAACGATTGAATTCAACTTCTTCTGTGGTCCTGGAGTTTCATCAGAGGTCCCCTAAGCTAAGAACCAGACAACAGGTGCTGAACACATCCGCTTTCTAAAGGGAGATACTTGGCTATTGATTGAGATTGGATTCTGCAGAAGCAGAAACCAAGTGAACCTATGAGTGTCTCTTGAAGTTTGGCTTGTCTGGGAGGCCACTCCAGGCTGCACTGATGGGAAAGTGAAACAGGAGGAAGGGAAGGAATCAATGTGAGTTTATGGAGGGAAGGGCTTCGCTGCGCATATTGGGTGCCGTCCTGCAGGAGGTTTTAGAGACAGAGAGCAGAACACACCCGGAGAGAGAGGGAGCTGGGGTATTTATCCTCCAACGCCCATCCCTTGTTGGCTGAGGGCTGCTCTCAGGTACATTGCATCTCCAGCACTCCGGCCTGCCCACGTGGCACCAGAGAAAGGCTCCAGGTGAAGAGGTGGGCAGGGGTTTGCAGTAGGAAGTCATCACGGGCACAGGGTGGCAAGTGCTGCAGGCCTTGGAGAGGGTACCAATGGTACCATCTACCACCATCCGCATAGCTCTTCCAGTTTGAGCCCTGCCCCCACCTCTAGCTCATACAAGAGAAGGCCAAGAACCCACTGGGCTGTTGAAGAGGCTAGCAGGAAGGGCTGCCCTGGTGGGGAAGAGGGGAGCTGTCACTGTGGGGTACCACAGGGAGGGGAGAAAGTGTATCGCCCTCACTTCAGGCACAGAGAGGAGAGCTTCGAGGGAACTCTCGGCGACCTGGCAGGTGTCTTTCTTTTGAGGCTTGGGGAAGAGTGGCTGGATTTGATGCTCACCAAGAGAAGAGTAATAGTAAGATCAGACCAGGTGCTGCCTGCTTGCCTGGGGGCAGAGCAAAGACAGAAAAAGAGGATGTTGAAAGTGAGCGTCCTGTGACAGATGAGGGTGGGGAAAGGTTCCTGTTTCCCAGGTTGTGCACCCTGCAAGCAGCAGACAACAGTAGGTCCCCTTAGAAGTGTCCTCACCCCAGAAAAGATAGAACTTTGCTGATAGGGCCCCAGCAAAGGGGGAAAGTCAAGATCAGACAGGCTTAGGAGACTTTGGCCATGATTAGAGAAAAATGATCAGTATTCTGTATATTCTGTAACATACCAACCCAGGCAATCTGGGCTCCCCTGCCCTTTCCCCTGGTCCTTCCTCACTGCAAAATTCCCAGCCAGAGGAGCCCCAAGGAAGAGGTGAAGTTTTGAAATGAATAAAGCTTAGAGTTCTGTGATTATTAGGCTGAACTGCACTTCTTAGGACCAGAAGACCTATGAAAATGCAGCTTTCACCCCAAGAAGAGAAATGACGGGGAACATGCCGGAAGGGGCATTGGCAGAACAAATAAAGTTACTCTCTGCTGCATCCCTCTGAATCTGCCTTTTTGACAGACAGGTTCCAATTACTTATACAGATGCTGGCAATTTAGTTTTTAATCCCCCCAGTCCAAAGACGAACCTGCCTCTTCACTTGCTCACCCTCGTATTTACAGAGTGTACTCAGGGTCCTGGCTTTGGAGCATCCTGAGCAACCGAGATGAAAATGGGGAGCATGGACCACAGGGAGATTGGCCACGGGGCAGACTGGGCTTTCAGCTGAGGTCTGAATTGAGATGTCACCTAGATACAGTGCAGGGAGACGCTGAGAAATCGGGATGTCAGTTTGGCTCCAGGACGATGGCAGATGGAGGCGTTGACAGGCAGGCAGCTTTGGTCCAACTGGAAGTGGGCACGGTGGGACCCCCTTAGGGAGGATTCTGCGGGACAAGGGAGCTTCCGAAGGCCAGACCCCGCCCGCTCCAGCCTCTCTTAGCTGCC